TCTTAGATAGATGCTAAAGTTATTTAAAATCTTTTAAATTCTTTGAGAATTTCATATTTGTATATACTGTATCTTGAACATATACACTCTCCATTTTTTATATTTTTGTTTATTTATTTATTTATTTTTATAGCCCAATCAAAGTTTCCCCTCTGTCCTCTTCTCCCAAGCCCTCCTCCTGACCTCCTCTCCTCCCCATCCACTCCTTCTCCTCTGTTTCTCTTCAGAAAATTATAACATGAATTGCTAAATGGTCTTTTAATAAAAACCTAGAGGTAGAATATTGGGGTGAATATTAAAAGCTCAGAGAGACAAAGGAACAAGCCACCTCCTACCTCTAGGACTCCTTAGCCTGCAAAGCTTGCCTCGGCCGAAAGACTTTAGTTCCTGTCTCCTCAGGCCTTATATACCTCTCTCTGCCCACCATATCACTTCCTTTTTAATGCTGGGATTAAAGGCATGTGACTTCCCAAGCAAAGGCATGAAATCTCAAGTGCTGGGGTTAAAGATGTATCCAACCACTGCCTAGCTCTGTTTCTCTCCTAGACTGAGTCAATCTCCTCTAGTCCAGGGTGGCTTTGAGCTCACAGATATCCAGAGGGATCTCTGCCTCCGAAAGCTAGGATTAAAGGTGTGCGCCACCCCTGCCTGGCTTCTGTTTAATCTAGTGGCTTGTTCTGTCCTCTGATCTTCAGGCATGCTTTATTTGATACACAATATATCACCACAGAAAATGCAGACCTTTCATGGATATCAGCGAGCCATTTCTACTCCCTCCTCTCAACTTCCTCTATATTCTTCCCCTTCATGTCTCCATCTCAAATTCCTGTCTTCGTTTTTATTTTACTACCATGTTTGTGATAATAGGGATGAATTCCCACCAAGAAACAAGCCACAGATCCATAAATGATATGTAAATACAAATCAGATACTGGTATATAATGACTTATTCTATACTCCATGACTTTCACCAGTCTGTTTTATCTTCATTGTGATTATTTATTCCTCTTTGATATAAATTTTACAGAATTATTCTTAATATCCAAGGATTAGGTCACATTAATTTCAACCAACCTAGAACTTGACATATAACAAATACTATTAAAAACTGTGAAATATCTATTAATTTTATGGTTTTCCAATTGGTATTTTGTTCTTTAACTCCTATAAATATACCATTATTTATTAAGTTTAATTTTTGAAGGAGTAGACAGCACTAGGCATTTATTACCTCTGTTTCTTCATTTGCAAATCAGTTTCAGGGATGAACTATATATCTCAGTGGTAGACTGCTTGCCTACCATATGTGTGGCCTTGGGTTTAAGCCTCAGAAATGTAAAATATATATTTCTAGAACACCTTTTCACCTCTTCCCTTTTTAATGTAAAATACCAATAATTCTTCATTCTACTGAGGTAGTAAGTAAATCTATAGGCAGAAGGAAGAGGACATGGCAAAACCCTTCATTCCTGTAAGAATTTGACACACTTATTTATACTCTGAAATATAAGATCAAAGCTTACAGGTTTGCAAAAAATATTTTCATTTAAACAATGAAATTTCAAATCATTAATCTTCAGAGAATAGGTTTCTAAAAATATTAAATTCTCCTTATACCATAGAGGAGTGTTATAATCTATAGTGTTGACATCAGTGACTTCTTTTGCAAAACTTGCCTTCACATGCTATATTAAGTGATTGATTTTCCATATTTTTACATGCAAAATCCCTACACACTTTGGAATGTTTCTTCTTCACCTCATGCTCTCAATATTACTTTCCAAAGATAAACTTCATAAATTGGTGATTTATATCATTCATTCTACACAAATTCACAAATACATAGACATACAGGTATGATTTTGTAATACTACATTATGATTTCATTTTGAAATTTAGGTGTATATGAATGTGCTTATTTTAAACATATACACAATACAACTTATATGTTGCATGTTTCTTTGTTTCATAAATAGAACAAGTAAAGAGAATTCAAGATGAAAGATTATCCAAGAATTACCATGGCTGGCTTTTGCCAGTCGCTGTGAAAGCTCAACCACAATTCCCCCGACACTTCTGTAAGCATTACAGAGTCCCTAAAATCTCTGACACTTCCATAAGCATTACAGAGTCCCTCAACTCTGATTAATCAACTCAGTGAGACTATACTTGATGTATTTATGACTTTTCTGTACAGGAGAATAGAATTTATTCCAATACAAAATTACACTGTGCCTTAAATACTAGCCGTAGGGAACTCTTCACTTCAGTGTAATCCATAGTGGTTGGAATTTATTGCCTACTAAGTTCATCCATGCCACTAAGCATTGCATGGGGAGCCGAAGTTGAGAATGACAGCAATTCCAGGTGACTTGTTTATATCTAATTTACGGGAACTTAGCTGGACCAAGAGGGAGATCCTCATACATTACATGTAAATCCCTTTGAAAGCCTGTGACCTTTCTGTCTCAGAGCTACTGTGCCATGTAAAACTGCAGGTGGAGATAGGTGGTTTCATATGCCTTTCTTGAAATATTAAGAAGAGGAATAACTTCAGATGAACATAACTCACCTGATTGTCTTCCAACAGTTTGCCAAGGATAGCAGTTGGCATGCTTACTCTGTTTTTATTTTTACAATTAAAATGAACAGCATCTTTTTTTACTAGCCTATTAAAGCAACTATTTTAACACTGGCAGTAAAGACACAGGGGTTGTTTAATTCTTACTGGGAATCTTCTTCTATGATTCAGTCCTTTAAAAATAGTCTGTTAGCTGAAGCTTGAAGGTTTTCTGGATGAGTTTGCTGGTGGACTACTCTGTTGCATTTGATGATGTTTTATTAAGAGGCCTTCTTATAAAACTATTTAGATTGGCAAATTTTTGTCTTTTCTAACCTCTGAAAGTTACCAAATTTTCTACAAATGCACTTGCTTTATTTCCTGTTCACCTGTAAAATGGTATTGGCTATCTCAAGTTCTTATGCTCCTGATATTAGTAATAAGCATAGGCTTTACATTAGTGGTCTAGCCTCCACTTTCAGTGTAGACATGTGAGAGTAACTCTTACTATCAGTCTTTCATCAGTGTGTGCTCATATTAATGTCTATAGTCACTTATTCTATTTAGGTGATTTTTAATTATACAAATTTGGGGACTTACATGTATGATTGCAAAACTGCAACATTATTTTTTGTGAATTATTAAGATGACTTTGTCCTCAGTTGTGGTATTTATTCATTGTGTCACTTGGAATTTCCAGAAACATGACTTCACTGTCTTCGCTGATGTCAGTTTGACATCATAACACAGAATAGTGTCACAGCTTATGTAAAGATCTTTACCTGTATTTTAAGAAGGCCACCACTTACCAAGTCTGTTCTCATTGTCTTTGTTGCTCATGAAAGTCCCTTCTGATTAAATAACATTTTGCTGCAGTTTAGACATATTTACTACAGCATTCTTCTGATGTCCACATGTGGCATGTAGTTATTTACATGATACTTCCCTCAGTCCCAGGGATCATTAACCTGCCACTTGATTGGTTTAACCTAAATATTAAGTAGCTTATCATATAATCCAAAATTATTAGTTCATATTGTATAGATCCCATTTATTTTATTTTCATGGATGGATTCAGCATATTAATTTTGATTGACACAGATGTGTTCATACTATGAAGTAAATATTGTTTTAATTCATGTACAATGGTAGTGATCTACTTAGGACATTGTCAGACATGGGCACATAGTCAAGAGTGGGGAGGAGGCTGGCCAGTGAAACCAACACTGCTGAAGGATGGAGAAAGATGTTCCAGGGATCTACAGCACACGGCAAATGAATGAATAATAAATAGGTCATTATGTACTTCTAAAACAGGACAAAACATAATGTTGATTGTACCATAAATACATGGTAAATTTTAAGGTGATGGGAAGTCACTGTGTTGTGAATGGAAGATAGTTTACATCCGGTAATTATTTATAATAAGTTCCCAGTAGTGGGTAATCCTGAATGATAATTACAGTACTATCCCATTAATGTTGTTGGATTCCCACTGTCAGAGGTGAGCAGGTAAGCACCTAGAGATATATTAAACTTTCCTAGGTTGTTCAGACAGTATTTCTGGAAACAGGGTGAGAAATGAGGTGGTTTGACCCTGATGGCATTTACTCATCTGTACTAGGCACAGGTCGGCTGCTAGATAGAGGGATGTTACTAGTATACTAGAATAGTAACCCACGATTTGAGGGGGCTTACAGTCTCATCAAGGGACACAGATTGAAACAAACATCTGAAGTACAGAATACATGAAGTTGTGGGTGAGAAGTACAGTTAAACAAAAATTAATAGAAGTTGGAAAGATGTGGCACCGTAGAGACAGGATATTTAAGATAGGAAGGCTCCCTGAGGGTTATTTAGACAAAATAATGTTTAGAGGGAAAATTTGATGAGCTTGGTAATGATAAAAAGTGGTGCACATAGAAAAGATGAAAGATGGACAATATATATGTGTTTGTGTGTGCAATTTGAATCTGATTGACTTGTGCGTTGATCTTCTTTCTCATATTAATTTTATCATTAGTAAACATATATCCTCATAAACAATAAATGAACAAAATGTTATAATGTCTCTCATCCCTCAGAAGTTCATTGATACTTTGTTAAAAAAATAAAGTTAATGTCATTACTCCTTCAGACTTTATAAAGAAAAAAATAATTTTTTCCAGAAAATCTCAGTATTGATTCTGTGGTTTTATTCATCAGCAAAATTCTATGATCCTAATAGTACTTGAAACCTTATATGTTTAGATGTGGGATTAAACAACGAAATAACCATGATTATCTTCTCTTTTAAACCAGGCCAACACTGTCTTATTTCCTAGTTTATCATAATGCAAAGAGAAAAAGTAATTGAACTGGCAATGTGTGGCCAAGTGTGTTGACAGTGCTCAGAGCCTGACCCAAACTGTGTTTAAAAAGATGTCATTTCTCCCTGCAGCCACCCATGAACATCCACTCCATCGTGGTGCAAGTCCAGTGTGTCAACAAGAAGGTTGGCACAGTGATCTATCACGAAGTGCGCATTGTGGTGCGGGACAGGAATGACAACTCACCCACATTCAAGCACGAAAGCTACTATGCCACCGTGAATGAGGTTCGTGCCCTTGTGTTGATGTGTGTGGTTAGCTTATATTGTAAAATGTGTAATTCCACTGTAATCATGACCACTGGATCCTAGAAGTCATAGGAATGCGCTGTAAGAACTAAGACTTAGAAAAAAATGAACTCTGATAACTTATAATCGCATTCCAGGAATTCATGTTGCTTCAGAAAAATGAAAATGACTGTATTTTTTATTATAGAATATATTGAGAGAATTCAAGGCATGCTACTGACATTTATGTTTATTGAAAGGCATTTGGCAAAAAAAAACCTTTATATTTATGAAATTATCTCACTAGGCATCAGAAGAAATTATTTTTGTGAGACTGTTTATTTAGTTATTGACTAATGATAATTATTATTATTTATTTTTATTTTTAATTTTTGTTGTTGTTTTAAGATATTCTCTATACATAGGCCAGACAGCTCCTTTTGGCTTCAAACTTCCAACTCCTGCTGATCTTCTGCCCCACCTTTTCTAGTCTCAAATTACAGAAGTGAGCCCTTTAGTAGCCTGTTACAATTTAAAATTTAATTCTATGATACCCAGAAACTTCAAACAGAAGCCACAACCACATTCTTTTCATTTTATTTTATTTTTATTACAAATTCTTATATGGAAATCAAGATGACATTTTGAAAATATCTTTAAAAAGTGATATTATTGATTGTATTGAAAATTGGTTTTTATTGTCAATTTTCCCCTTTAACCAAATATCCCTCTGATTTTTTAAGTAATGTTTCCTCTACTAATTTGTAGTTAGATATTGGCTAGAAAACACTTGCAGAGTAACTATAATATTCACTTCCAATGTACAATATAGACTCATGCATAATTAAATTAAGTTGCTATTGAAAACTACACTCACTATATAAGGCTATTTTTACCTTCAAAATGTTTTTCTCTTTAAATTCATACATACTTTATAGGAAGCCGTCAGTATATTTTGGATGTAAACACAAAATTCGTACTTTCAGCTCAGCAATCTCTAAAGTCAATTAAGATATGTTTTGTGTGTGCAAAAACTTTTATTTGTAAACATTTGGTAAAATTAAATAATAGAAAATGAATCTTCTAAAATGATATCACTTTAAAATGTTTGAAGATCAAAAGTGAAGCATGTTGGTCAGGGACTCAGTCTGTCTTTGAAACCCTTCCATCTGGTCCAGCAGTCACCACAGATTCTCACTCCTTCCCATGCCTCTGGCTCAAAGTTCATTTTAAATGTTTTCTTTTCAATATCTGAAGAACAGTACTTGCATTAGAGTTTTCCCTGTTTGATTGCTAACTTGAATGATAAAAAAAACTGATGGACAAATTATCTTAGGCAAAGCTCTAGCTTAGGCAAAAATCTGTTTTTAGTTCACATTCATTTTCTTCCTGCTTTGTCTATTGTCCATTTTTCTTACCGAAACTTAAAATGCTCTTAATTTAATTTCTAAGGCATTCTCTACTTCCTGATTACTTTCTGTCTCTCCCACAGTCGTTTAGCTGTCTTGTTGAGAATAATACTTCTCAGATACCATTTCCCTCACGTCACTCTGCTGCTCGGAGGCTGCGTCATTATCATCAGGGAAAGGGCCAGCTCCCTTAGTGGATCGTCAAGGCCTGCACAGTCTCATTATTTCTCAATGCTCTTCTCATCCTGTGTCTCACCTTGCTCAAACTTTCTCGTGTCCCACTGGCATCTCCACTGCCGGGCTTGTGCTCTATCCTATGAGCTCTTCCTCCTTTCTCATCTAAAATTAGCTCAGGATATATTCTCCAGAAATCATGTTCTCCTAGATGATCCATATTTATCAACCACTGATTTCTTCAGACCATAAACTCACACAGCATCTGGATAACTGAATGATGTAAAGTAGGGCCATGTGACATTTTTTACCCATTATTTTGAACAATCCAGTTTCTTCTACAAAGCTGTCCAGTGCTTTGTATGTGACAGACAGCTGAGGTAAGCCTAACCCACCGACTCCATCTTTGGTTGTACAGACTGTGTACTTGGTGGTCACATCCTCCCCTCCTGATTTTTCACATGCTAGCTCTGATACATATTTGTGTCTTTAAAATCAAGGTTTTGTTTATACTTGTCAACAATATCAAGTGAGAATTTCTGCTGTTATCATCTTTCATTATCTGAGTAGTTCTGTGATGATAGTTCCTGTTTTAATGAGCCAAAATTTGCATGTGTAAATATATATGAGTGTGTATGTGTGTATATATGTATGTACATATGTATGAGTTTGTGCATGCGTTATACATGCATACATATAGGTATTTGCACGTGTATATGATATATTTGAATACTTCTGTATATACATGTGTACACAAAATATCATCTACAATGTTACCTATAAAATTAAAAGAATTTATTTTGCTTTGCCCAAGAGTACAACATACAAGATATTTCTCTGGCTATTTTCCCATTTACTACAAGTTTAACACACTTAAAACCTACATTTAAAAAGTCATTCAGGATTTAAGAAATTGTGGGTTTGATATTATTTGACATTGCAATAAAATGCAAGGCACATGTAAAGTCACAATCACAGATTTATAAAGGAAGCTTTCCGAGCTCAGACCCTGGCTAGTCTCTCTTTCCTCCCAAGATCAGAAAATTGAGACCTGAACAGTATCTAAAGTGACAGTAATAGCCCAGAAACATTAGAGTTTACACCCAAACTCAAACCCTTCCTTTGGTCCTCTCTTCACTACTGACTAATAAGCCATTTGATAGACTGGGGTAAGCATGCTATTGTATATCTGAATCAGAAATGAGTATCAAGGCTTATAGCTAGAGTATTGTTGAACATTATTATGATCACAATGAGTACAGTTACAAATGTGTTGAATTCTAGGTACTAATAATCTTTGAAAGTATATTTTTCTAGTCGTGTGTAAGAAATTCATCAAAATTACTAATATTTTATTTAAATTTCAATTGATGATTATGACAAAGGTTATTATCTCTTACTTGAAAGTAAAACATAAGACAGTGAAAGGAATTTCATTTCTTTGGGTAATTGGCAACTCAACAAACTTTGGACAATTATATCATTAGTAATTATAATGGCTGTTTTGAAAAATAAATTGGAGCATAAATTGCAGTTTATTCTTAAGCTAGTTCAGAAGATATATTTTTATCAATAATAATGTCTTTAAAAATACATATATCCATACCCTGGAATTTCTTTACATATCTTTTACCTCCCAAAACATATTTACATATATCCCACCCCAAAAATTCCTTTTGAAATAACAGACAGCAAACAGGTAAATACATAAAATTCCATGCAACATGTTAGTAATTTATTAAAGAAAAGTAAATATCACATAGTACTAAGAAATGTTGTTGCAAACAAGACTGTAAGAGCCAGAGGGACAAGATGTCTGCTGTAAGATTGCATCTGTTAGAAATCTTAGGGAAACTATATTAATGAAATATCAGCAATCCAGCTGTCTAAACAATAACTGACCAAAGATAATGTCAACTGACATGATAACACAGAAGGGGGAAATCTTACTGGACTCCAACTCTAGACAAAGAACTACAGGCAACTTAGGAATGCTGTGATGGGGAGATAGTATTCTTCCCAGTGGGTGAGACCCTAATTGGTTACCAATACCAGGTGGTCAGCTCTGAAATCATATGCATACAAGTTACATTATATGGACTGAGAAGATTATATATTTAGGATATGACCACAAGTAAGGAAAAAGAGGCCAGAAGCCATAAATTTGAGAGTCAGTGGGGGATCAGGTTGGGGGGTTCATTGGAAGGGTTGGAGGGAGGAAAGAAAAAAGGGAAATGTTGCAATTGTATTTTGATTTCAAAACAACAACAACAACAACAAAAATCACCAAAATTATTCTAAAATCAATCCAAGCTTACTGAGATGAGAAAATAAAGAACTCATACCTGGAAGCCAGAGATCTAAGGATGACAGATCAAAGTAGTCACTTAATAATCCTACGTATGTGAAATAAATTAGATGGTATCTGAAAGAACAATCCTTACATTTTTACACAAACTGTTACAACTGGGGACTAAAGGCTGTGACTAGTAAATAAAAACAATACACATTTCACACTCAGTGAGCGGAAAGTCTCCTGCAAACAGGAGAGTCTGGACTCACAACTCACTCTTATTATAAGACAGAAGTTTCGAGAATTTACGTTCTATGCTCAAACTAAAAGCAGATCTTCCTGTCTCACATACTGACACCTGAAACAACAACTAGTTCTACAGGGAAACTCTGCAAACAAATTCAGTGGCAGGAATGTTATAAAAAAAAATGTGCACGTAAAAATAACATCATCTTACTCTGCCTCCCAGTAGCCATACCCTAGTAACCACTGCCCACAAAGTGTTGTCATGCTAACTGTAAACATCCAACATTGTGATCAAAACCACGGCAGGAAGAGTTAAGGTGTGAGGCTTATGGAAAGTGGATTCATAGAAATGAAGATAAAATTTCCCTTCCTGCTTACAAATATATAAATGTATTTTCCTGTGCAATTAAAAGATAACACATAAAAGTGCAAGGAGATTGTATTTTCCCCATCTGAGTAGTTTAATGCTCACTTCAGGATGTTTCTGTGCTATAGTCTTAGCATCCTCACCATCCTGTGCAGTCTGTGTCTGGGGATGGTGACTAACCACCCTTATGTCCAATCATACAAAATAAAAGAATTTCCTGTTTCTTATGAGATATGCTAGTAAGTAAAGTAAGAAAAATAAGGATATAAATATATATGACTAATTCTAAATATTATCTGAATAAAGCTGATTATTTTCACGAATATGTATATATATATAAAATTTCCATGTAAATATATATGAAATAAATGAGAAACACTATACTTACAAGTCTATGAAAGATTGACAAGTACTGGCAAGTATTTTAAAGCCTTCTTTGCCTAGAAAGAAAATGAAATAAATCATGTATAGTTTTTATATAATTTTATATAATTTATTATTTATACCATAT